TTAAATAAGTTATAATAATTATAACATTGATAGTCACTCACTTTTCATAAATATAATGCCGAAATTATTTCAATTTTAATTAATATATAATTATTAAGAACAGTATTATTTTACTCAAATTAAATTGAAAAATTTTCAAGTGCAATATGATGTTTCGTTCTTTATACATTCTTATTTAATTGCAATTCGTGAGGTTTATTTATAAACAAAATTAAATTCCACTGCATTTTTGGCAATAATTTTGAGAAATGGAAAATTCTTTTATATTTCAAGAAGGTTAAATTGTGAATGAAAGGTTATCCCAAAATGGACATTTAAAAATAAAAAATTAAAGATAAAAATTTAATGATATGAAAATCAGTTAAGATAATTAAAAATCTGATGATCTCTTTAAAGTTTCTTGAGCTAAATAAAATTATACGTACAACCGGTCGAATTTAATGGATTTCATAATAGAAAAATTCGTTTGCGTAAAATAATTGATAGAACACATTATTTATATTATACAATTTTTTCATTATACATGAACAATTTCATCGTCATTATTCGTGAACAATTGCAAAATTATATGAACACAATTTCTATTAATCAAATAAATAAATAAATAAATAATGAAAAATTTCTTATTATTATTGGACATATAAGATAAGTCTTATTACTTCTATTACTAATCTCACAAAAAAAATGAGAATGAAATTTCTATAAATAAAAAGTTTTTTAACAATTTTATAAAATATTTTACGATGTATAAAAATAAAGCAATGGTCTATGAAAATTGAAGAAAAGTAAGAAACAAATTCTCTCAATTTTTATCTTGATAGATCGTCATCAGTTTCTATGATTTGCTATATAAATTTCATCTAAAATAAAACGTAATTTTTTAAAATAAACTGATACACCGTGAAACATTCTCGTGCGAAACATTCCAATAACCTAGACTATTTATTTTCGTATTTTATCTCTTTAATGTGTAAACATTTTTTCTCTAATAATAATTTACTCGATAATATTACATTTCACCAATATATATATATATATATATATATATTGATTATAAATTATTAATTAACTTTTAATTTAAGAAGGTGATTGATTGCTTAATTTTTGAAACTACCACCTAAAAGTCATTGAATCGTAAAAACATATTCCATCGACTATTTAATAAAAAAGTAAAATTAATTATCTTATAACACGAAGAAAGAAAATTATATCAAAGCCCCCTTAATAAATATGACGGATATCTTAATGAGGTTGAACATACCATTTATCCTTAATTCGGTATCTAAAATAACATTTCGTATTTGAGTTTCTCAGCTTCTCGCTCTCCACGACAACAATTTAGATTTAACAAATATAAGCTAAGCTCAACTTAATGCATCTTTATAATTCGGTCTGATTAAAGTGTGAATCAATGTAATTGAGGGGAAGCCTGAGTCGGAGTTTTTCCATTAAACAGTCCGGGTAGAACCGGAACTCTCGTCCAACTGACCGCGTGGTCTTTTGTTAACAAGGTCTCCGCGAAAATTTGTTAATTTTCGCGCATGCGTCAGATTTATTTTCGTCCCGACACACTTGCGAGCTGAGAAAAGGACCGCTTCTTGTTTTAAGGAAAGGCTCGCCCTGGCATGCGAGCATGACTAACGAAGTAATTTGTGCTCCAGATTCGAATTTTTGGCTAGAATCAATGTTGTCAGCCTCTACCTTCCAGTGCAATCTTCAAAATTTAAATTTTATGCTGTTTTTATCGCAGAAATACTCAATGGCTTTAACCCATTTTTCTGCCTCCCCACTCCCCTTATAAAATATTTGTTTATCGAGGCTTTAGCCTTATAAAATCGTTTTATGAAATTAAGCTATAAAGTGTATGTATGAAAGATAACGATAATCGTTTTATTAATCGAAACGAGAAAAATTTGTTTTAATATCTCCTATATATTAATTTGTTATGCAAGTTAATAAATGGCCGCAGATTAATTAAAAATTCACAATATCGTAAAACTATAATAAAACGAGTGATAAATAACTGTTAATGGATGGGAATGTGCGATGGGAATGCAGATGAAGTGATACCTAATCCGCTCTTGTAAATACAATTTAACGGATAAATATACGAAGGATGATCCATTTAATGAGAAGTTTTTCCAATCATTTTGTCAATCATTTTTGGTTGACAATAATACTCCAAAAACAACAATAGAAAGCAACGATAAGAATGCTCGGAATTGCTAATCAGCAACCAACAGCACATTTAACAACGAGGAAGTGAAAAATTAATAAAAATTAACTTATAGAAATTACCTTGTTTACACTAGGGCTTCGCGTTAATATTCCCGAACATTGGCATTCACAAAGTGAAGACCACATTCCAACAGAGCTGACTCGGCCAAAAAGAAGTCGACGGTCTAAGTCACACTAATAAAAAAGCTATCTACGACCTGTTTGTCGGCTTTTCAGCTACGACTCGTTTCCCCCTCGCGCATCTTTGCCACTTATAATAAATAAAAAAGAATACTCCCAGTTTACCTATTCTTTTGTCCGTCCACGTAGTCGACACAGCGCGAGTTTCATTTAGTGCCAATAGACGCGAAAAATATCATCATATCGCCAACGTGCTTCATTTATTATTGACACTTTGTACTCTTTAATTAAAAGTTTAATGCTCGTTTGTCATATACGTGATCGTGACCATTAAATGAAATGAAAAAAAAAAAAAAACAAAAAAAAAAACCAAAAAATATTAAAAAATATTGTTTATCCGATTTTAAGCTGTTTAAAATAATGCTCTTTCCCGAAAGTTAATTTAATTATATAAGAGAAATTAACGGGAAGGAAACAAAAAGTGATCAATATTTCTCAGTAAGTTTGTTCAGAATTTGAGACAATTAGCTGGTAATACAGCGCCGGTTCAAGCCCCTACTACCACACATTACATCAGCAATTGCATTTGACCGGGTGAACACCGGTTAATTACGAGGTCGCACGACACGCGGGAGTAACTAGAATAAGATGTCATTTAGATATACGTTGCTTCATTACACTTCTAATACGTTTTTCAACTTGTGCTGCATTACACCGGATGATTTCTTTTTCTCAATTCTGTAAACGCGAGTCCGAGTCTTATGAGTATTTTTTTTTTTTTTTTTTTTTTAATACTCGTCACTTGAACCTCGAACTAACGGCACAATATATAACTAATCACAATATCGAACTCATACGTAATATATAAGATTCGTTTGATATTAAATTATATTAGCAATGACAGAATGGGGTATTTACAATTTGTATTTATAAAATAGATTTGGAGTCAATTGGATGATTACATTTTACATAATTAAGTGAAACGTAGATTATTAACTATAATAACGAATCGCAATGTATTTATGAAGTAATATTAATTATTTATTTTATATCGAACATTTATTAGATTTTATAATGAGCATTATGGTAATTAGTAACGAGGCAGTTTACGAGACCATTTATTATCTGCTTCCATTACGTAACAATATTAATATGTCGGATGAGGTAAACAGATTTAAATCATCAATGGCAAATGTTGTTTAATTTGAGTTATGTTCAACCTAAATATCGACTCTACTATATGACGTTATTGAGAAATTTATTCAAAACACATTAAAAGTATCGAAGGCGAACATTTCTCAATATAAAATATTTAATGCTTAAAAGTTATAAAAATCATGTCTTCTATATAAAAAACAATTTTTTTTTTTTTTTTTTTTTTTGTATTTTAATACAATCGTCTGTCTAATCATCATTAATGATCAATATATGCAAGCCCAATACTGAATTCTTCTTGTAAGCATTTTCGATAAAAAGATGATGGCATGCATTATCAAAATATTTTACAACGATTTGAATCCGTGAAAGATAAACATATTTATGAATGTATTTTCAAGTATGTTTCTGTTTTCTGTTTTCTGTTTTTTGATTTGAAGAATGAGCTTGCTTAAGTAATTCTTACTCATCGTTGCACATTTTATACTGCTTGTTTAAAAAATACAACCATACAACTCTTATAAAGCGATTGGAAAAATTTGATATGTTATTATATTGTTGGAAATTTCTGTTACATATACATACCATTAAGTTAATTAGTATTATCGTTAATTAGTAGAACTCCTCAAGACTAGTAGTGGCAGCGAGTAAATAGACTTTCATAATTTTTCATTAAAGCCTATGGTAAGCCTATTATTGTAGGTTCCTGTAAAAAAGAAAAGATAAAGAAAACTAACTACTTGGGATAGACGCGAAAGGCCGTCGTGCGCCAATTCGAAAAGAAGGAGAAAGCCGGCAAACGACGATGCCGTTAAATCTTAAAATGAAGTGTTAGCTTCGCAGCCAGTGTCACAATAATGTTGACAGCACGGCGAATGTCATCGAGCTTATGTCATTTTTTATGTCATCGAAGAAGCAAGAAGCCAGCGACAGCGAAGCTAAGCCGAGAAAGGGAAACCGGGACACAGTGTCAAAAATGAAAACAATAGCCAAGTCAGCTGATTACGAACATTGGCGCTTTCTTGCGTAATTCTTGACGTAATTCGTTAGGGGGTCGCCATGAGCTCTCGATGTTTATACGCCCCCATTGCCATGCGAGTGCGCGGTCATCGGATCCCGGAGCAGCGGATTGCTCTTACGAACGCCCGTGCGAGAGAGAGAGAGAGAGAGAGATAGAGAGAGAGAGACAGCGAACGGCGTCGGTGCAGCCAAGAAGCTTCGTCATCACGACGGCTCGCGCGACCAGCCAAGCGAGACCGTCGGCGCAGAATAACGAACAAACGCGTCAGTCAGTAGCGTCATTGCTCGTCGTTCTTTATCCTAGTCCCGTTCGCCGCTCATCGACGCCAAGAAGCGAAGCCATCGGGCTTAGTTGACCGAGGTAAATGGCAGGTGGCGAAGGTCACGCCCAGCAAAAGTAACTTTTAATAGGGAATAGTGGAAAATAGACAGGGCAGGGGGACCCTCGTAGTAGCGCTCACTGGCCTTTAGATCTCGTCGGCGCCACATGTTCGTCCAATAGTCGTGCCAGGGCCGTGCCCACTGGGTCGGGGGAGCCCGCGAGCGAACCGAGAGTCGGCTACGGCCCTGACGTCCCCACCTGTTTCGTTCGACTGGCACGGCAGCGGCGAGCGGCGAGCGACGGAGAGGCCCCGAGCGGGGAAATAGGCGCGGCGCAGTCCCGAGACCGAGTCGAGTCCGAGTGTATCCGACGCAGGCGCCCCGCTGGATCGATAGCCTTCGCTCGCGGGAGCTGTCCAGGTGAGTGAGTCGGTCAGACAAGCGAGATGGCGGCCGACGCGCCTTACCGACGCTCGGGGGCTACGGGGACTGCTGTTGGTTATGGAGAGAAGCAGAGATCTTGAGGAAGTTGGCGCGCCCAAGGTTTCCAAGTCGCGACGACGCGACTATATCGCCTATCCGAATGCTCCCATCCCATCCCAGTGGGATTTTCCTTAACCTCTAAAGTGCCAGCGCCTCGTCCCGTTATTAACTCGCCATCTCTCTTTTTTTTTTTATCCTTCAGGCAGTCGATCCAACCCACCTACCACTCACTTGCCCCCGAACGCCTGATCGACCGTCCGATAAAACCTGCACCTCGTTATTAAGCGCCAAAGAGATTGACAAAGTCGTTTTGACCTACAATACGTAAATCTATCGTAAAGACTGTCAATTGGAATTGCCATGATGTCGCGCGTCTATCCACTTCATCGGCTGGTTAAAGTGGCCGTGCATTTTCGCGAGAATGGCCATGTTTGGCTTTAAAGTGCCAAGTGCCCAGTCAGTCACGATATAGGTATTTTTTTAATCGAATTTCACTTCTCGTTCTTTTAATACAGTTACTTAGTGGAAGTGGAAAATTGTGAGAATTGTGAGAATTGCGAGAGGCGTGCGCGCGATAGTATCTCGAAAGTTGAATGCTTCGTATTATTGTGAAGCTAATTTTTTCACTTTATGTGTATTTCTTATGCGTATTCGTTCTTCAATCCACGTTTCTATTCGAGTTAATGTTTTTTTTTTGTCATTCTTACTTTTTTAACGTTTTTACGAGTGCTAAATTATTACTGCTACTACTACCTGTTTGTAAAAAATTTTAATAATAATTGTGGTGTTGATATTACCTTAAGACAGGTTGAGCACTTTTGTATTGTTTGGCTTCGTAATGCACAGCCTTGTAAATTGTTGCGCAAAAAGTAAGTCGTTGGGATATTTTGATTGCCCTTAGTTTCATTTAGCTTCAACCAATTTATCAATTGACAATCAACTAGATATGTTAGAAATATCGTTATGTCAAATATTCATCCATTTGGTATAATTTCAAAAGCAATTTTACTTTTATAAATTCTTCTTTTAGCTTACAAATACGCATTAAGAGTCGTCTTTAGACCCTAGAATAGTCGTAAAATTAAAGCTGAAGAAAATAATAAGTTGATAATGTAAAGTTTTCTTATATTTGTAGGTAAATGTATTTATTTCCCTGTATTGTAAGTAAATGAATTTCCCTGTGCGAAAATTTACGAAAACATTTAATCTTAAGCCCTAATTAGAATTCCATAGCTTTACACGCTAATACACTTTAACATAATTTTTAATAAAACTCCATGATCAACTATATCGCGATATATATATATATATTGAAACGAAATGAATAAATTACATGTCTAGCGTGGATTAGTGATTAAGTAATAAATATTATTTTTAATATTTGCATTGAAAAATTCAGTATGCATTTCCAGATATTTATTAGCTGTTAATTAATTCAAAGACTATTGTTCTTATTCACTTTATTATTGACTTTATCAATATTCTTCTACCCTTCTCTCTTCTACTTTCCAATATACCTTTGCATTAATAAATTTGCACTTCTCCGAATTATACTCTACAATGTTCTCCAATTATTTTTTCTTCTTATTATTATTCTTTAAGGCTTTTAACAATCGTGTCGCTTTTCGCTATTTCGTCCAATATTTCTCCACCTGTCTCTTGCTACACAAAATAAATAATTGGCCTTCCAACAGCGGCGTTAAAATACCCGAGTCGAGCGAATAAGCCCCCCACCCCCACCTCCTATCGCCCCACTGCCTCACTACCGGTTCTCGCTCGAGAAAATTCCAGTTGTAGAAAAATTGGCAAAGCATTATTAAATGACTCAGTTCGTCAATCGAACGCATCGTCAGACACAAGTTTAATGTTATTTTCTTTC